TTAGCTTTTTTTCGGGTATACTTTCTTAATGCATTGAAGGCCGGGCAATAACAGCATCCTTTCCAATGCATTGTCGACACTTTCTGATGATGATCCTCGGACGGCGTAAAGTTATCAGTTAATTGACGACGACGAAGAAGGTGATCGTTGCGCGATGTGTGTGTCGCTGAACTTAAGTCAAGTAAGTTCCGAGCTTTAATTATTCAAAGAAATCGTTGCAGCTTACACAAAAGATATAGACTACGCCAATTTTTTTTAATATTCTTCGAACCTAGTGAATTTGTACTGGGTGCTCTTTCAAAAACCAAATGGATTCATATTCTGAATTATAGTTTGAACAAAGAACTTTCTTCTGTACATCATCGACCACTTTGCTGCTCCTCGTACAGTGATCTCCAATGCCATATTTGCGCGCTCGAATTATTCATGAGTGCCATGAGGCTCCAACTGGTGGTCATCTCGACCGCGAAGACTTTCGCGTCTATTTCTTGCAACTGCTACTGGGCTCACATGTACAAGTGGGTGAGCAACTTTAATCGTAAGCGTGATTCCGTCAAATGTGAAGCCACATTCATCGTCGCAGGCTCCTCTTAGATCGTCGTAAATACAAACTGTGGCTTGACGCTCAGTTTCCATGGAATTTATCAACGGGCTCGCGACGATAGTCAAGGCAAACCAGTAATTTTGTATTTGTCGACAGATTTAGCAAGACGATACATCTTATTCCTCTTCATGCTAAGACCATCGTGGTGCAAACCGCAATGTATTTAATCTCCGCTGTGATTCGCAATCGTGGATTGCGGGAGGAAATTGATTCGGATCGCGGTCCTCAATTTACATGGAAGTTTTGGAAGTTACAACATGAACTTCTCAGTACGAATATACGTAAGTCGACAGCGGCCTGTTAGGATACGTACGGTCAATTCGAGCGAGGAAACTGAGTACTCGAAGATGACCTTCTAAGTCACGCTATTTCCTTCACGAGTTGGAGTGCATTCCTAACACTTGCTGGTTTGTATAACGGGCACCCTTGGTTCGGGGAGCCGCGAAACTTCACGTAGACTAGTACGCGCAGAGGAAGTCAATCTACTCAAACTACTAGTTTGAGTAGAGGTAAAAAGATAACTGTATTTAATATAGTTAAACTATCAATATAACTTTAATCTTTATCTATCTATATTAAACTACGTCGTCGTATGACGACAACCTCCTCACCACTCATTGCGCGCGTCTAGCAGAGATTGGTTGTATTCCATGGTTGATATGTCTTTTATCAAACAATCTTAAAGCAGCGAATGAATATTATCCAAAAGGGGATAGTAATCCTTCAATATTACCCATCCCGAATAATATTGGAAGGATATTGTCATACTAGACAATATTCCAATTGACACCGTTTGGTGTCAATCTCATGTAACGGGCTACCCCGTTACAGTTTGCGCTCAACAATGCTGTACACGCGTCCAGAGGGTGAATCCAATTTTTGTGGATGCAACTCGACACCCTAGAGCGCATGCCCTTCTCTTCGTGAGTCGCCCTAGGGCTCCTCCTGACTCCACTTTGAGGGTACGTGAAAGCTATAATCAACGATCGAGTGCAGTCCGGGTATTTTAAAGCGAATGTCGTCACCCGATCCCAGGCGAAGTCTACTATTGTAACGTCACGTGACGTGGTGTCTTAGTTAGCTAGCGATACTGCGCAGAGACATATTGATTCGTGTTTCGATCAACCTATGCTTTCTACAAAGGCCAACTACGTGCCGATTGATCTGGCGCGATCAAACTGATGATGCGGCTGTGGCAACGTTCAAATTCCAATGTCAAGCCACCACCCTGTTTGTACTTGACTCATTTGAGATTTCATTGGACAAATAGAAAGAAATGCGGGAAAATGGTAGGAAAAACACGAACAAGTTCGTTGAGGTGATCGTGTTATAATCCCTACAGGGGTTTTCAGGGATCTGGTGGTTACTAATTTAGGCGCGAGCAACTCGTACAACGCTTCATGGTCCATTCAAGTTCTCGAAGTGATTGGTGATGTCTACACGCCATACATCTCCACGTCGCTGCATCTTCACCCAACATCAAACCTCCGGCGGCATAAGCAGAATCACCTGACTACAATACACACATCGGCCCCGTTTGTGGGGTCCTATGCTCGAAAGTCAGCTTATCATCCCGTCTTGTCCGACGCGCCAATAAAATTATACACGGCTGCGTTTCATCTGAGCATTTCCAAGAACCTGGCGTTTCAGGTTTTCTCATCCTTTCGAGCAGCTCGCAGTGCGACTGACGAATCTTAATTGCAGAATTTACGCCTGTGCAGCACGCTCGAAAGCCGCCTCAGCTTCTAGCTGAGTGTCAGCAGACCTTTTTACAGCCTCGTCAACATTGTCCTGAAGCATCAGGACGCTAGTGATAACTCCGCGAAGGACCACCGCTACTTTTCGGTGCGGAAGGCCAAGTGACGCAGCATCGTCGGCCCACGTTACGCGAGCGGTACCAATCGCGCGCCAGTAATGCATACGTTGGCTTGAGTTTCCATCCAAGGAGGAATTTTAAGAGCAGCGTTCTTCACTATTTCGCAAAGTTCCCGATTTCGTTAAGAGCCATAAGTCCAGGCTATCCAGGCTCACAGGCGATAATGCAGGGGTGAACGTTTTTGCGGTGAACGAGAAAGGTGAGACATACGATGACGTGAAACGAGAAGTCGTGGTGATTATGTGTCACCGCAATGACTAGAACAATGCCTTGACGAGTACCGCGCATCAAGTCGGGCAGACGATTGAATTGCCACAGGGCAGTGACTGTAACGGGGTGAATCGTTACATAACAATTTATAAGAAATTGTTGATAGAATATAACTATAAGAGTTATATTCTCAGAATATTGTCATAAGGACAAATATTCTATAGCACTTACGAGTAGTTCCTAATTGGTTGATATAGGCCATTATATCAACCAACGAAGACGCGCCACGACAGACGCACGCAATGAGTGGTGAGCAGATAACTGATTTACACATTTGTATTTAGACATAGTTAGATGAAGATAAATAGTGATTTATTGCAGACATTAACTATACTAAATACAGTTCTACTTTTTACTTTAACCAAGTACTCGCTTCTTCTTACCGTCTTCTTCTGCACGTACTAGTGTACGTGAAGTTACGCAGCACCGCCTTATTCTGTCATCAACATAAGTAGCTTGTACTGTCACCAGTACAAGCTTCAGGGTGCCCCGTTACACCTGGTAGCACTTCGTAGTCCGTCCAAGGACCGCGTTCACATCCAACATGAATATGTTGGATGATGAAGATGACCAAAGCTTTCACGCTACGCGTGACGGCTACTCCCATTTGAGCGATGTCGAATGGGATGCGGTTGAACGAATGGGTTCGACCATGGGCATCCATGCTGTTAGCGTCATGCTAGAGGCTCTCAATAGAGATGCCCAACATGCTAATGGCGCCAAGTTCATTCAAAATGAACTTGACGCTGAACGCGAGAAAGTAGCCTTGCTTCACCAACAAGGTTCTCAACAAGCAGAGCTGTTGAGAGAACAGGGTGCTCATCAGTTTGAACTGTTGAGACAGAAGCAGGCTGCTGCTGGTGGGTCGATGCACTCGCGTCGACCCGAAACCTTGAAGATTGACATCTACAAGTATATGGGAGTCGAAGAGGACTCCCTCTTGAGATGGTTCGTCGAATTGGATGACGCCATAAGGGCGCGTCGCATCGACGACGGGGATATGCAAGTTGCATTTGCCCAGTCAAATCTAGCAGGACGTGCCAAGACTTGGGCACTGGGGCTCGAGTTGCACGACCCATATGCGTTTGGGTCGTTGGAAGTCTTCAAGTCGCGGCTCAGACAAACGTTTGAACCGCCTAGAGCTGAGTTCAGAGCTCGAACCGAACTCTTGAAGCTCAATCAGGGTAAGCGTGATGTGCACGCTTACGCGCAACATATACGACATCTCACGAGTTGTATAAGTTCCAATCCGGTGGATGAACACACGTTGGTTTTGGTGTTCATGCAGGGTCTTACGGATGGTCCCGTCAATACTCACCTGTTCCGACTTGAACTAGATTCACTAGAACAAGCAATTTTCATTGCGGAACAGGAAGACTTCAGTCTGAGACAGGCTCGCACCAGCTCGACATCATATCGTCAACCGAGACGATATGACAGCGGAGGTCCAGAGCCGATGGAACTCTGTTATGTAGAGAGCGAGAAGGCTAGCTCTACAGACTACAAGAAGTTGCGGAAATGCAACAGATGTCAGAAGACAGGACACTACGCTTACGAGTGTAGTGCCCCTCGTCCAGTGTAATGCAACAATGGGCGTAGTGACCGTCCACCCATGAGAAAGGGGCAGGGACGAGGGTCCGCTGTTGGCGCAAAGACGCAACAACGGGATGGACCGTCAAAAAACGAACAGGATCAGTAGGTGCGGAGCACCCTACTGGTCCAGCAACGTCAAGAGAATTTGTAGGCCTCTTGATGAAGGTTGCTCCCAACACACAAACGTTGTGCGTTGCTGCACTAGGTAATGAGATCTCACTCATTACCTTGAAACTCGAAGTGACAAGTAAGTTGTGTAACGGGGCTAGAATGACCCGTACTTAGCGTACACTATTTCTAACGCTTTGAGGAAGCTTAAAGCCCAAGTCTTAGGTATTGAGTATTTTTAACTCTGTTTGTATTTTTGTCTTTTAAATCATCCTAAGTACGAATGGTTCCCTTGGACTCATGGGAACCACTCAATCTACGTGCCTATATCTTACTGGCTAATAATGGTACTGAGCCCACTAAACCAGCAAAAATATACGACGTGCTACTTTCGCTACTCCGAAAGTAACACCCCTACTTAAGTAACATGTAAACTTAATCGAACCTACTTATGTAACGGGGTGGCCCATTACATCACCCCCTTCTCAAGACAGCACTCACGAACCATGAGTGCTCAACCACAAGACCCAACGACGCACAAGCCAAACGATGACTGAAGACGCAGACGCCATCACCACAGCACTCCCGCGCACAATCAGCGGGAGTTTAGTCGACCACGTGATGGATCGGCACCTGATCCCTTGGGCGCTGTATGACTTGTCCGGAGCTCGAGCTCCGGACTCTCTCGAAACGATGCAGGACTACTTCCGGCATTTCCGTGGGTTGCGTGGAAAGAGTCTTGATGGAATCTCGTACGAGTCGCTCCAGCGGTCATGGTGTGCGTTCATCCGGCGGTGGAACCGGATGCTTGAAGACTGAAGAAACTTTCAGCAGTGGCTGGCCAATCGTGAAGATATCCACGCCGATCATTCCATCGGTGTACTGCGCGAGAAGATCTGTGAAAACGCATGGAACGTAGATCGACTCTGCTACGTTTACGTGCACGAATCTTGTTATTCCTGTGACTCGATGCCTCGTCCAACTCGCGAAGCTTGGCAACGACACGTCGCTGAGTATCCACTCAGCGAGTATGAACAGCTCTGGATCGGACAATACAAGCGCAGCTCGATGGAGCGCAAGACTGCGTTTAATCGTGGCGCGTCACGCTGGCGACACCACTCGCGTTCTCGAGGTCGTGGTGCCATGCACTCTCCACGACGTTCTCGTTCGCGTGATCGTCGCGACACACGCTCGTCGCGACGTTCTCGTCGTCGCTCTTCATCTCGTCGTCGTGGTGAGACGTCACCACGACGTTCTCGCAATCGCTCTCGGTCTCGTAGTCGTGGTGACACTTCACCACGACACCGTCGTCGTGCATCTCGTTCTCGCTCACCGCGAGAACACACAGGTCGTCGACCAAGTTTGCACCAAGCGTGTGCAGGGACTCGTAAGCCCGAACGACGTCCGGAACGTCTCGAAGAAGCGAAGAGCGCGGTTCCCACGTATCCTGCTCGGGTGGAAATCCGAGCCAACGTACACGATACTTGCGCGCGATTGGAACCGCGCGCTCATGGTGTCGCGACGATGTCGTTTCGCGACGAGGGTCCTCGTGACCCAGTAAACGCTCCACAATCCAGCGCTTCTGGCCTTCCGCGTCCACAAGCGGTGGTGGACCCTCACGATGGTACTGCTGGCGTCCTGGTTGCCCAGGACGATGTAGATGCGGCTGTGAACAAGGCTGTTGATGTTCAGCTGGAGGCTAAAGCTGCCCTTGACCAAGCTGCGCGGGCCGAGAGAACAGCGAACGAGATTCGACAGTCAAACCGCGAGCTGCTTGAACGGATGAGAAACCTGGAACGCCAGGTTCTTGGGCACGCGCAGACTGGGACGCAGCCGCGTCCGATGTCGCTGGCGCGTCGAGCAAGGCGAGAGGGAAGTTCGAACTATGAGCCTTTGACTCCGAGGACGGAGCCAACCCGTGAAGCGTAGCTGGACGGTACTCCTTGAGCCGCCCGACGTAAAACGTCGGGTGAAGTCGCAGTGCCGAAGGGATGGCCAGCGTGTGTGCGTCGCCGATCGCCTTGAGTACCGTGAATGGTCCGATGAAACGTGGCGCGAGTTTGCTCGCGCCTAGATTGGTTACTGCTGAATCTCGTAGGACTTCGGTAGTTAACAATACACGATCACCCTTCTTGAATGTACATGTGTTCTTTCTTCCACGTTTGTCTGCATTCACATTCTGTTTATCCACTGCAGATCGAAGAGTATCGCGTACAAACCTCGTGATGGCTTGACGTTGGAGTACAAACTCTGACACAGCCATGTCATCAATTGGTCGCGCCGATTCAATCGGCGCGTAGTTAGCTTTAGGGTTTCGCATACTCGAAGAAGGATCGATCAGCGTCTGTGCAGTCCATTGAGCGAGCGGGGACGCCACGTCACGTGGCGTCAAAACAGAAGACTTCGCCTTGGAATAGTTGACAACATTCGCGCTCAGAATACCGTGAGCTTCACTCGATCGTTGTTTATCTTTATCACACCCCGCCAGAGTGGAGCCACGAAGAGCCGTGGGCTGACCCACGGCAAGAAGAGTAGGTACACGAGGATGACGGGCCGAATTTGCAAAGAATGGCGTCAACCCCGTTGACGCGTGAACCGCATTGTTTAGTGCAAACTCCGCGAGTGGCAAAAACGCACTCCAACTTGTAAAGGACGTTGCGTAACTTCGAAGAACATCTTCGAGGACCCGATTAACTCGCTTTGTTTGCCCATCCGTTTCCGGATGGGCTGCTGTCGACATTTGCAGCTTTGTGCCAAGCAACTCGAACAATGACGTCCAAAAAGCAGATGTTAAACGAGGATCACGGTCCGAGACAATGTTGTCTGGTAGACCGTGATGGCGAAACACAGTGTCAATGAAGTGCAACGCGGTCTCAGCCGAGGTGATCGTTGCATGAACAGGCACCAGATGTGTCATCTTGCTGAATCTGTCGACAAAGACCAGAATACCTGTTCGGTCTTGGCCATCTGGTGCAAGCCCGAAGATAAATCCATTGAGACTGAGCTTTAAGCCTCAGCTGCAATTGGCAGGGGTCGCAGGGGTGCCTGCGACGATGGAGATGGCTTCACGCGCTGACATATTTCGCAGGTGCAAACCCAGTTGCGAACCCATTTGTACATGTGGGGCCAGAAGAAGTCACGCGAGACAGCCGCGAATGTCTTTTCGCGGCCCAGATGACCGCCAATTGGGGCATCATGGTACTCGTGGATGATACGAGCACGCAAATCCAAGTCATTCGCAATCACCGTTCGAGGTGCATCGAATTTGTCGATGCTATATGACAGCAAATCACCGTCCATAATGTATCGTTGAATGTAATCACGCTTCGTTCGCGAAAGAGCTCCCAGTGCAGCCTCACTGGGAGCGCGCAGATAGGCGATAATGTCCGCGTAATCCGGGTCGTTCGCGTAAGCCGCGACAAATTCATCGAAAAGGCGTAACTCGGGTGTGACCCGAGTTAGATTCAACGACACACACGTCGCACATCGATCGTCTTCATCTTCGTCGTCAGTTGCCTGACGACTCAGTGCCATACGAGGATCGTAATCTGGGCGTCGTGACAGTGCGTCAGCAAGAATGTTGGTCTTTCCTGGCTTGTAGTGCACGACGAAGTTGTACTCGGAGAATAAAGAGAGCCACCGTGCCATCCGCTGTGACAGGTGTGGGCTCTTCATTGCTGTTCGCAGCGATGCATGATCAGTATACAGGTCGAACGTGCGTTCGCCCAGTGGGTGGACACGAAACTTGATGAGTGCATAGCGCATCGCTAGCAGTTCCTTATCGTGAACCGGATAGTTCTTCTCTGCCGGCTTCATCTGTCGTGACTGGTAGCTCACGACTCGTTCACGGCCCTCATGATCGAACTGCATGAGGGCGCAACCAATTGAAAAGTCACTTGAATCACACACCACGTGAAACGGCTTGGTGTCGTCAGGGAGTATCAACACTGGCGCCGACGCCAGGCTCTTCTTCACTGCTTCAAAGGCTGCTTGATGTTCGGGACGCCACGACCACGTGGCGTCTTTCTTCAGAAGTGACGACAGGGGCTGTATAGAACCGGCGTAATCCTTTGTGTACTTATGCAAGTAATTAGCTAGACCGAGCCATTGACGTAATTCCGTAGGGTTCTTAGGTGTGGGCCAAGAAAAGATTTACGACACCTTCTCTGGATCGGCTCGAACACCCGATTTACTCACGTAGCAGCCCAGCACCGGAATCTCCGATGCACAGAATACACATTTTTTCAAGTTTGCATATAACTTGTTATCTCGCATGACTTGAAACACCTGCTTCAGGTGTTGAAGGTGAACTTGGACAGCACTGAGGTTGCCCTCAGCGCGACTGTGGACAAAAATGTCATCGAAGTAGCTAGGAGCAAAGTCTCGAAGCGGTCTCAACACTTGAGATACCATGCGACTGAAAGTGGCTGGTGCGTTCTTCAATCCTTGTGGCATCAACAGCCACTCCCATAGCATACCACTCGGGGTACTCACCGCAGTGAGTGGTACGTCACTCTGTCGCATCACAATCTGGTAGAAGCCATCGATCAGATCGATGGTGCTGAAGATGACGCTACCTGACATGGAGTTTAGAACCATATCTTTCCTGGGGATAGGCGTTTGGGCAGGAATAGTGGCATCGTTGAGCTTGTTAAACGCATGCACTATACGCCAGCCTCCCGTAGCCTTCTTCACGCAGAAGGTTGGGCTCGAATGGGGTGAGACACTCTCACGCACATGACCGGCCTTGCGACGACCTTCGAAGAATGCATCAATAGCCTCGACTTGGTCTCGAGGCAACGGCCACTGGCGTGTTACACAATATTTCGATCCTGGCACGAGATCAATTTTGTGCCGCACGCCACGATCGGCAGGGAGTTCGGCCGGAATCTTGTCCGGGAACACATCGGCGTAATCTCGTGCAATGTCGTAAACAGGGTAACCAGACTCGCGCAGAGCCTCCCAAGATTGCGACGCAAATCTTTCTTCGCGCGCTGACTTTTGCTCAGCGCTTCGAGGGCGCGTCATTCGCTCCTCATTCGGCTCATAGGTCACCTCGTTGGTGACCAGACATACTTGTTCCACCGTGCCTCCCTTGAGGTCACGTAGAAAATGCTTCCAGGAGAGTCCTGGAAGGCTCGTAATCGACGACGCGTCGCGAGGTGGACTCGCGACCTCAATGTATTGGCGCCTTTGTGGACTCCCGTCCACTTACACAATAGCGTGGACACATTCCAACGCTGAGTTCTCGTAGCTTGCGTCCCCATCGTGCTTCGAGTCCATGTTCGAAGCTGGCGAACTGCAGTCAGGTGATAAATCTGCACCTCCCTCTAGAAGCTGCATGTCCTCATCCAGGACGTCGAAATTGCGTGACGGGAGTAGTCCATACTCGTCCGTCGACGCATGATGCGGGAGCCCCTGCTCTACCGCCACAAACTCGTGTGGGAGCCCGTGCTCGACCACGTCTTGATCATGTGGGAAACTCTATTCGGCCACAGTAGGCGACGATGGGAACCCCTGTTCGACCATCATGTTCGCACGTGGGGACTCTTGTCCATCCACGTCACACTCGGTGGCGAGCCCCTGCTCGGCCACATCTTGCCCTTGTGGGAGCCTCTGTTTGACCACAATGGGTGCAGGTGGGAACACTTGTTCGTGTTCGACCACTGCTCGTTCGTGCGGGAACGCTGTTCGACCGCGTCGTCGTCGCTCGGGAGCCACTGCTCGTCCGCGTCTTCATTACGCGGGAGGCACTGCTCGTCCACGTCGGACTCCTCGCTGCAAAGCGAGGAGACATCATCACTCGTGCGTAGGGGCACGGAACAAGCGGTACAGAGAGGGCCATTCGTCACTCTGTGTACCGCCGGTGTCGTGGATGTACGATCCACGACTGTAACGTTCGGCCAATCACTTGGAGACACCAAGAAATGGGTGAATACTTCGCTGACGTCGAACTTGCTTCTACGTCTCACTAATCTGGCTAACCAGTCGATCTGGGGCTTATAGCGTGCCAACCATGGCATGCCCAGGATGCAATCGAATGAATAATTCATTTCAATCACCAAGAAATTGTCGTTACTGCGAAAGCCGTCGAACGTGTACGGCAACGACACTTCGCGCCGCGATACGCGGCGTGGTTTTCCGTCAGCGAGCTTGACAACAACTTGGCCAGGTCCCTCGTGGATCTGAATGATGGGTGGCAGCATTGACACGCAAAATTCACGGAAGAAATTGTTTGTCGCTCCTGAATCCAGGAGCGCTCGTAGAGGTCACCGGATACCGGCGACATGTAGATTAACAATAATCAGGCGTGAATCACCACTCGTAGTGGTGGCATTTGACCGTGCACGCAGCACAGATGGGCTGGGGGGTCGGGCTGCCACCGGTGGACCCGGACCTCCCTTCAAAGCAGTAGGGCGCCCTGCACCTACTGGTCTCGTCCAATTTTTGGACGACTGATCGGAGCACCTCCCTTATGATGGGTGTCCGTCGCATGCACCGACATCGGTGCTGGCGCGCGGCATTCAGCCGCGCGATGTCCCGGCTTTCGGCATCGAAAGCAGATCATCTGACGTCCGCCTCGGACGTCGCCCTTGTAGGCTGTAGCGCGTCGTCGGTCACCCGACGACTGAATTGCATCGATCTCCATAGGTTCCGGGCCCGCTGATCTGACAGCGGTAACAACTGAAGGCTTGGTATAGGCCTTGGTGACTCTGAAGTCCTCACGGAGAGCGATAGCGAAAGCCTCCTCCAACCCGGCAGGCTCTGCTCGTTCCAGCGAGAGGCGAGTCTGCCCTTCACGCATTCCATCGACAAACACGTTCACTTGTGTATACATGTCCATGGGATGCGTGATAATGCAAGACGCCAGATGTCGAGCCATCTGCACGTAGTCGCGCATGGACATCTTACCCTTCGCAGGGATAGGAACCTTGAACGCACCAACTTCTCTTCCTGGGGCGGCTCGAAGGCGAGTCGAAGGTCACTCTGGATGGCTTCCAGAGTGGGGAACGCAAACTCGTCAACAACGAGTTTTCCCAAGGCCCACTCCTTGGCTTTCCCAGTGAGACGGGAAAGAAGGAAATTGACCTTCGCTTGAGAAGCCTCGAGAAGTCTCGAGGCGATAGCGATGTCGACCTCTCGAAACCAACGAGACAACGACAAGCGTTCTTTTCCTTCGCCAGAATAGGCGGAGGTCTCCATCTTCACGGCATCGTTCCGTGAAGTCCGCGAGGGAGTTAAACCTCGCCGATGGGATTCGGCGAGCTCGCGAGCCATGTAGTCGTGTATGGCGAGACGCTGTCCATCAGGAGTCGCTGATCTCATCAGCGACACAACGAATGCCTCTCCGGATATCGCCGCGAGGCGATTTAGGGCATCCCACTCAACACCAGTGAGATGGGGAAAAGTCGCGTGCTCCAGACTTACGTCTAAAGCGTCAAAGTACGACGAATCGCTCATCCCAAACTCGGGCATGGGAAGGACTAAAAGTGCTACCAGGTGTAACGGGGCTAGAATGACCCGTACTTAGCGTACACTATTTTTAACGCTTTGAGGAAGCTTAAAGCCCAAGTCTTAGGTATTAAGTATTTTTAACTCTGTTTATATTTTTGTCTTTCAAATCATCCTAAGTACGAATGGTTCCCTTGGACTCATGGGAACCACTCAATCTACGTGCCAATATCTTACTGGCTAATAATGGTACTGAGCCCACTAAACCAGCAAAAATATACGACGTGCTACTTTCGCTACTCCGAAAGAAACACCCCTACTTAAGTAACATGTAAACTTAATCGAACCTACTTATGTAACGGGGTGGCCCATTACAAGTTGCCCCTTCGAGCTCTAATCGATTGTGGGGCGTCCAACAATTTTGTGCAACGCCAATCGCTAGAAGATGGTCATTTCAAGTTTGTTGAATGTGACACACCTCCTACGAGGATGACGGTACGTCTTGCGAAAGGCGCATCCGTAACCGTCATGAAGCGTATAGTGAAGATTCACTAAACGCTAGAAGATACCGAATATGATGATGACTTTATCGTCTTGGATTTAGATGACAAATTTGATGTCATCCTTGGAATGCCGTGGCTCAGAAGGTACGAACCACGGGTAAACTGGCAACATCGAACAGTAACGATGCCTGCCGCTTGTTCGTCAGATGGCCATCTGATGAACGTTTTGGAGGGTCCACAAGCGTGTGGATGTACTACGAGTGAGTGCGATGGCCTCACTTGTGGTACGGTCGTTAGTACGACTGCACACAACCTTAGTGTAACAAACGGTTACACTTCATAGCAAAGTTCCGGTGGCTGTGAGGAAACACAGGCTGCGCCGAAGGTCCACCACTCGAATAAGTTGAGTGGACTGGGACAAAGATGTATCCCTAGCAGGGAACATCTAGAAGAGAAACAATCGATCGCTCAGGTTAAGCGAAACGATAATCCTAGATCGACTGGAGAGTCTTTCGTAGAGGATCTCGCTGTGGTTGCGCAACCCCAGCTAGAGGAAGTTAGGGGAATAAGTCCCGATATTACAAATACGGCGGAAATGAGTTCCCCGAAACCCGCGGGAATAAGTCCCCCGGAAGCCGAAGGAATAAGTCCTTCGAGTCCTGAGGGAATAAGTCCCCAGAAAATGACAGAGACATTGAATGTCATAGTCAATGACAGATCAAGTGTAGGCGCTTATACACTTGATCTGACTGCGCCTCCGAAGTTGACTTCGGAGATCACTCAGTTGCCAACGCTCGAACATAAAAGGTTCTTGCGTGATCTGCGTAGTGGCAAAGTCAAGCAGATCTGCGTACTCGTCGATGACGACGCGTGTGTAACCGACATAAGGTCAGCAACAGTGTTTACTGAGAACGAGAGAGTTCTCAGTAGTTCATCTATGGACAAGAGTGTCCTGGATCAAAAGACTCGAATTAAGCGATATGACTCCCAATCATGGGAATCGCTCAAGACAAATCCTCTCTATGAAGATTTGGTTGAATTCAAGGATTTATTCCCTGAAACCGTTCCGTACGAATTACCGAAGGATAAAGGTATTCGACACGAGGTCGAGCTTAAACCAGGCTCGAAGTACTGTGTCATGAAGCAGTGGCCACTGCCTCGTGAACAAGTACTTGCGATCGACAAGTTCTTTGCCGATCGTTTAGCTGCGGGCCATGTGAGGGAATTAACTTCCCCACATAGCTCTCCGACCTTCTGTGTGCGAAAAGCAGCAGGAGGGTGGCGGATAGTGCATGCATTTAACAAGTTGAATGCTGTAACGGTACCGGCTCAGACGCCGATACTGAGGAAGGACGTAATCATTGATGATATGTCAAAGAGTACCATCTTTTCGTCCATGGATTTGATGGATGGCTTCTATCAAATTCCTATGCGAGAACGGGATATACCCTATACCGCAGTGAGCACGCCTAGCGGCATGCTCTGGGAATGGCTAGTAATGCCACAAGGGCTTAGTAATGCCCCTGCCACGTTCAACAGATGTGTATCACATCTGTTGAGACCAGTACGAGAATTCGCGCCGAGTCATTGTGATGACGTATTCATCCATAGTCGAGCTATGGATGGAAAGTCGGACGTTGAGGTTCACAGGTACCACGTCCGACAAGTTCTTACAATCATGCGAAAGCATCAATAGTATGCAAACCTCAAGAAGTGTATATTTGCAGCAAGCGAAATACCACTTCTTGGATGCATCGTTGGTAAGAACAGTGTACGTCCTGATACCGAAAAGATCAAGGCGATCACCGACTGGCATGTGCCAGTTTGTGTCAAAGGTGTATTTGCAAAAGTATTGACGCAGTTACGCCGAGATGTATGTAAACCTCTCTCGTTTGTTGAAACAGAACGAGAGGTGGTTATGGAACGCTGAATGTCAGCGCTCGTCTGATGGTATCAAGCAGAGCTTGATGCAATCCCCAGTCCTAGCAATAGCCGATCAGGACAGGCCATTTCATGTGGTCTGTGATGCCAGAGATTTCGCAATCGGCTGTGCATTAATGCAGTACGACCTAGAAGGCGTTGAACGCGTCTTCTGCTATCAGTCGCGTCAGCTTCAACCAGCTGAGCGGAACTATCCAGTGCATGACAAGGAACTCCTTGCCATGAAGTATGCACTCGCGAAATTCAGAGTCTATCTATTAGGAGATAGACCCTTCATTGATTACACTGACCATGCGTCATTACGCACGGCAGTGAACAGCCCGCACCTTTCACAACGAATGGCGCGGTGGTTGTCATTCTTTGCAGAATACATCTTTACGATCGAGCACAAACCAGGACGACTCAATGTCGTCGCTGATGCACTCTCACGTCGTCCCGACTTTGAAACAGTCGTGAAACTCAACAGTGAGACAGCCACTGTTGCGGTTATGACATCCTCAGTCCCATCTACAACGTTGAATGATGATGTGAGGCGGGCATACGCCCAAGATGGTGAGATTGTGAAGTTGTTGGCACATCTCTCACAACCATCTCGAGAATTGTTGAAACGATTATCGTCTGCGTGTCAATCTGCATCAGATCGATACACTACTCGCAACGGGTTGCTGTATTGTACAGCCGTTTCTGGTTACACACCACGTGTTGTCATTCCAGATGATAATGATCTGCGTTTGCGGATCATGTTCGAGTATCACGATGCTCCTATAGGAGGACATCGTGGCCGGGAGAAAACATATCTCACGGTGAGTCGAGACTTTTACTGGCCCCGCCAGTATCAGTTTGTGCGAAAGTACGTTCGCGCATGCGAAGTCTGTCAACGGGTGAAGTCAAGTCCTTCACTGCGTGCACCTTTACAGCCTTCATCGGTTCCGGCTGAGTGCTGGGAATCCATCTCAATGGTTTTTTTCTTCGGGATACCGAAAGACGCACGCGGGAATACGGGTATTCTCGTATTTGTTGACAGATTCAGCAAAATGGTACATCTTGTGGCTGTACCAGAGACAATCACGGCAAGTGGTTGTGCATGTGTCTTTATTGACACCATCTTCCAACTTCATGGGTTGCCCCGTGAACTCGTATCAGACAGAGATCCACGATTCACTGCTGATTTCTGGCGTTCCGTGTTCAAATCACTCGGAACGCGCTTGAAGATGTCGACATCTGATCATCCAGAGTCAGATGGTCAGACGGAACGTGCCAATCGTGTCCTTGAAGAGATACTTCGAGGATACGTACACTCCTTTAAGAGTTGGAGTGAGTTTTTGCCAATGGTGGAGTTTGCCATTAACAACTCGGTGCATGCGTCCACGACCCATACACCGTTTTACGTGAATGGCTTGCGCCATCCGCGTGTACCCACCTTACTAGAGTGTAACTCTGGTTTAAGGGGGGGAGGGACTCGCGCGAGCAAAAACCGATTCGGTTCACGCTCATCACGCTCTGACGAAGAAGTCATTGCGTTTGATGCCGATATCGATAACATCGATTTCGAAGAAGATGATGCCAGTGAGAGTGCGGAAGCCCTCACTGAAGAAAAGGTTGATGTTGCTGCAGTGCACTCACAGCGCACTGAAGCTAACGAGTCACCAGATGAGTTCATACTGGCTGGTAAAACGGTAGTCCGTTTTGTGCAAGATTCCATCGCTCAAGCGGTGGATAAGCAAAAGCAAAACGCTGACAAGAATGGAAGGGCAAACACTCTTTTATTTAATAAAGGTGACTTAGTCCTACTGTCTACGGTTAATCTACCAAAGCATGTAGTGACTAACTTGGGTAGTAGCAAACTATTACCCAAGTACATCGGCCTGTTTCGTGTATTGCACCGCCTAGGCAATGCATACACGATCGAGTTACCACGTAAGATGCGAACGCATCCCACGTTTCACGTTGGTCGGCTTAAGCCGTATCATCAGTACGCTGCTTCTTGCGATGAAGAACGCCCTTGCGCTCAAGCATCTCGCAGAGAGCCTTGTGCTTCCGATGGTGGGCATCGACAAGGGTCTGAAGAGCAGCTATCTCATCCCGAGACCGATCAACAATCCCACGAGCTACCCTTAGCTCGTCACGAAGAGATGTCAGAGCTCTCTCGTTCTCAAGCTGAGCAAAGGCAAACTCAGCTCGAAGCTTCGAGACAGCGTCCGCCAGTTAAAGACGCCCGTCCCGCTCATGTTCGAGATCGTTGCGTAACCTTTGCGTTACGCGATCAAAGAAGCTCTCGGGAACACACGCATCCCCACGATTATGAGGAGAGCGTCTTCCCTGCTCCTCCACGTCCATTAGAAGACTCTCGCGGTGGCCAGCGCTATCTAGTTGAGCAGCTGTTGAACCAACGCGACGTGAACGGCCGTCGGACGAGTTATCTCGTCCGGTGGCGCGGTTATCCCCCGTTCTGGGATACTTGGGAGCCCCGCTCCTAACTGATAGTTGACGTATTGGGTTTGATTGAGTAGTACGACGCGGCACATCCTGTACCGCAGAAGGACCGCCGGAGAAAGTCTTCCCGGCACGGTCGTAAAGGGATTTCAGGTTGTCAATCCCTTCGTACATCTCAGTAGAGACACATACGCGCCACCACGGGATGGTAAGGAGGTAAGCCTCCTTAGGTGCTCGTGCAGAGTTGTTCACACAACATGGGCACGAGTCTCCCCAAGAGAGGCAGGGTAATCCTTTCTCCCTTGACAGACGATGCAGCTTGTAGCGCGCACCTGTCGGGGTTCGCTTTTCAAACTTATCACGAGCTTTGATAAGTTTGTCGTTCCAAACGTCACGACCTACATCCTCAAGGTTATGGATGTAGGCGTTCCACGCTTGAAGCAGTGAGGGACCATCACGCTTGTGATTCCCACTGTACCATCGATGTCTAAAAAAAGCATCGATGAAGAATTCATTCTCAGCGCGATAGTTTTTCGCGCTGGGGTCAAGGTGATGGATCCTTGACGAATCGAACAATCGTGTTCGATAACGATCACTCGTCGTCGCCGACAAGTGATCCATGACTGATTTAGGAGGCATCCATGCCTTCTTCTCAGGAGCGAGACGCAAGACATTGCGGTCCCGCTCTTCCTGCGACGTGCCGACAGAAGTACTGGCACCTCGCTGTGAAGTGGTGTCCATAGGAGAACCGACACCACTATTAGCGCCCGAGTCTCGCGACCTCGAGCGCCTTCGCTTCGGCGATGGTTCATCTGATTTATCAGATGAACCAAAGATGCTGCGACGCAAAGCATCGTCCATGCCACGCTTGGCAGGCGGCTTAAATTCAATCGCCGTCGATACGGATCCGTCATCCGTATCAGGAGAGTACGAGACACCGAGCTCGTACTCTGTGAAGACATGAGTGTCTTCATGACCAGCGCCTGCATCACCAAGTGATACAGGCTGGGTCGCTTCAGCAACCGATGATACATCAGTTGCTGTGGTTTCTGCTTCGGCGTCCGCACAGAGAAGTGCAGACGCGCTTTCGGCGGCCTTGCTCGCGCATCGCATGGGTTTGTTAACCATGCCTGAATTGTTGGGAAGTGGACTCCGACCAACAAGTGCAAACCCTGTCCCAGATGATTTGGGACGAGTATCCATTCAGTCAATCAGTCACTAAAGTGACTGATGGTTAAGGGAGGGTGATGTAACGGGGTGAATCGTTACATAACAATTTATAAGAAATTGTTAATAGAATATAACTATTAGAGTTACATTCTCAGAATATTGTCATAAGGACAAATATTCTATAGCACTTACGAGTAGTTCCTAATTGGTTGATATAGGCCATTATATCAACCAACGAAGACGCGCCACGACAGACGCACGCAATGAGTGGTGAGCAGATAGTTGATTTACACATTTGTATTTAGACATAGTTAGATGAGGATAAACAGTGATTTATTAACAGACATTAACTATGCTAAATACAGTTCTACTTTTTACTTTAACCAAGTACTCGCTTCTTTCTATCGTCTTCCTCTGCACGTACGAGTGTACGTAAAGTTCCGAGGCACCTCCTTATTCTGTCATCAGAATAAGTAGCTTGTACTGTCACCAGTACAAGCTTCAGGGTGCCCCGTTACACTGACTATCCAGCGGAGTTTAACTCCTCTGTCAAAATTGGTGTTGCCAGCGAGGAACACCGCGAGTAGTTGCAGCCCTTCACTCTTGCATGCTGCGCTCGTACTTACCAATCCAAATTTGTTCAAGTTTACTGAGCAGACTCTCAGTGACGTCTCTTCGCTATTCTTCACTATTTGGTCGTGCGTCGAGTCGCAAGAATAGGCAGCCATCGTTCACTTGCACGTATTAGAGTCTTCCTTCATTGTAAGCGTCCTCGCATACTCTATCGCGTAACGCTCCGAGTGAATCATCGGCGCGAAATCTCTCCCAAGTGGCAAGCCATATGAGAAACTATCTATCATCTTCAAGCATCCTGTCTATTTCCGGATGAAGGCGCACCAGAGAACTCTAAAGAGCTTTGTTTGCGATACTATCAAGATTCTTACCGCGTAATCTGCTATAAAATTGATGTAGCTATTCATGGCTCCAAGTAAGTCCGGAGCACGGGGTCCGGACGAGTAGTAAAACGCTTACGAGATAACCTGCTGATCCATGACGCGGACTGTTGCACTCCCGCTAATTGTGCTCGGGAGCGGTGAAAAATTGGGAGTCGCTTCGAAGTTCAATGTACTTCGGTTTCGAAGGCGTGTCGTCGCGTAAGTTGTACACTCACGGTTAATGAGTGTTGTTTTGAGAAGGGGTGATGTAGTAGACCATCCCGCTAATCAAGTAGATTTTTTTAAAGTTGTATGTAACAGGGCACCCTGAAGCTTGTACTGGTGACAGTACAAGCTACTTATTCTGATGACAGAATAAGGAGGTGCCTCGGAACTTCACGTACTCTCGTACGTGCAGAGGAAGACGATAGGAAGAAGCGAGTACTTAGTTTAAGTAAAAAGTAGAACTGTATTTAGTATAGTTAATGTCTGTTAATAAATCACTGTTTATCCTCATCTAACTATGTCTGAATACAAATGTGTAAATCAACTATCTGCTCACCACTCATTGCGTGCGTCTGTCGTGGCGCGTCTTCGTTGGTTGATATAATGGCCTATATCAACCAATTAGGAACTACTCGTAAGTGCTACAGAATATTCGTCCTTATGACAATATTCTGAGAATGTAACTCTTATAGTTACATTCTATTAACAATTTCTTATAAATTGTTATGAAACGATTCACCCCGTTACATTGTATGTTACTTACGTAGGAGAGCTACTCCCGGAACAGCGGATGTTGCACGTCACATATCTTTGTAGAATTTAATAAGGTTATGATTATTATTGGTCAGTAAGATACTGACACGTACATCGAGTGGATTTCATGAATCTAGGGAAAAACTCGTACTTAAAATTTAAAGGAACGAAGAATAAATAGGGCTAAATCAACTTAATACCTAAGACTCGGACTTAAGTCTTCCTGAAGCGTTAGTATAATTTAAGTAAGGTTGTTCAAATCCCGTTACACCATGTGTACTAGTCACTTGCACGTATCTGAAGACCGCAATAAGTTCTAGCCAATGTGTTAAACACGGATCCGAAGCAAACTCGCTGGGAATTCCCACGGCGGCAACCCTGGTAATTTGGTCGGGTCCCAACTATCAGATACATGAGAATCGACAGAATTATGATACAGGACATATGCCATGGTCGCTTTATGGTTGCATCCTCCTTCACGAAATTTCTTCGTCAACTTTAGGCCATTATTTTGCGGTTTCTTAAGGGGATCGGTTGGTTTTCGCCGAACTTCATTAGTATGTATGTGGCAAACTTGGTCGAAGAAAATAACGTTACCACTGATGACGTCTTGATTCTCTCTATACCCAAAAAGTACTTGAGCCGAACGAGATCTGTCATCTCATATCGTTCGCGTAGCTCCTTCTTTGTCGTTTCGTGAAATTCGTTGTTGTTGCAAGCAAGAACCAAATCATCGACATAAAGCGTCAACAAAAAATTTCATCGCTGTCCCACTGGGCGTAGATAAAGTAATCGTACTTCACTTCGTTAATCATGTGTCAACCGTGTACTTAACAATCGTTTAGTATATTATGCGCGGGGACTTGATCAAACCTCAGAGAGATCACTTGAGCTGACAGACATATATCGGCATAACTGCGTCGATGCATCCATCGGGTTAAACCATAAAAACATTCGTTAAGATTTTCGTTATGGAAAGCTGTCTTGATGTCCATTCAGTGTTCCGTCATATTGTGTTTGGCTGACATACTGATCAGAATCCAAATGGACGTTATCTTGGCTATCGAAGCAAACACTTTTTTCAAATTCGAAACCATTATTCTGCAAAAAAAAACTGGTTACTAGCCGCGCCTTGAATATCTCAATGTCTTTAGCTTGATACTCCTTGGGTTGGAAAGTCTAGCGGCAACCTTGCTATCTGTGGAAGCGGCACTAATATTTTTTAGATCCTGTTTTCGCACAATGATGTCACTTGAAAGTCGAAGGCTTCCTTCCACTTGGCCGCGCTGCTTGATTCCGTTGCCGACTCTTACGTAGTCATAAATAATTATACTAAATCTACAATGGATACATTTTTAAAATTTAAATTCGTCACGGACATCGCATCAAGCGATTGGTGAAATATTTGCATCTTAAACCGAAAATATTGGAACGTCTGCTTAAATGATTGATTGCATTGACTGTGCTTGCTGCCAGGCTTAAAGTCGACGTCCGGTCGGCTTGAGCCTGTAAATTCTTGGGGCTGACCGGCATGGAATCTTTATTGTACGCAGCGTCATCAGTGTCTTGATCTCATCAGTTTAGGACTAAGTTACATAGGCCACCATTTCATCTTGAGCGAAGACTGTGTTACGGCGCTATACGTGATAAAAAAGTCATTTATAAAGCTTGCATCACGACTCTTTCTTACACTATTTGTCTTAATGTTTTCGAATCGGTAGACCTTTCATACTCGGAATAGACATAAATCTTGACAGATCATCGATCAAGCGTCAAATTTAGAACGTGTTGCTTGGTCACGTAAACCAACGCATAGCAACT